GGGATGCCCCACGGGCTTTATACGCCCTTACCCGTGCCTGAATCACCATGGTTAGACATATCCATGGATTTTGTAGTGGCTTTACCCAGGACTCGAAACGGCAAGGATTCCATCTTTGTTGTAGTGGACCGCTTTTCAAAAATGGCCCACTTTATACCTTGTAAAAAGGTTGATGATGCTTGCCATGTGGCGGATCTCTTTTTCAAAGAGATTGTGAGGCTCCATGGCCTCCCAAGAAGCATTGTAAGTGATAGGGACACTAAGTTCCTTAGTCACTTCTGGAGGACCCTATGGGGTAAAATAGGAACTAAACTCCTATTCTCCACTACTTGCCATCCTCAAACAGATGGCCAAACTGAGGTTGTAAACCGAGTACTGTCCACACTTCTAAGGGCAGTTTAAAAAAAACCTCAAGGCTTGGGAAGAAAGCCTACCCCATGTGGAATTTGCTTATAATAGGGCAATACATAGCACCACGGGATGCTCACCTTTTGAGGTAGTGTATGGGTTCAACCCTTTGACCCCACTAGACTTACTACCTCTAAATGACTCTAATACCCTTAAACATAAGGATGGTAAGGCCAAAGCCGAATATGTTAGACGGCTTCACGAGGAGATAAAGGCCAAAATTCAAAAAAAGAATGAGGGCTATGCCAGGCAAGCCAATAAGGGTAGGAAATAGGTTATCTTCGAACCTGGAGACCTAGTCTGGGTTCACATGCGGAAAGAAAGGTTCCCCTCACAACGGAAGTCTAACCTTCAACCAAGAGGGGATGGGCCATTCGAGATCCTTGAAAGGATCAATAATAATGCCTATAAGATTGATATACCGAGTGATTATGGCAATGTTAGTGTCACTTTTAATGTTGCTGATCTTTCTCTTTTTGATACAGGTAATGAAGACCTTGATTCGAGGTCGAATCCAATCCAAGAAGGAGGGGATGATAGCAACCCACCAAGGCCCATCAACCTAGATGACCTAGTGGGCCTAGGAGGAGCCATAACTCGGGCTAGGGCTAAGAAGGCCCAAGACACATCGGGCCAACTAGTACTAAACATCCAAGCAACCATTGGGCCAAGTGACACCACAAGGCCCATAACTTGCCTCATCTTAGAGGACACTCCCCTTGAAGGCCACGACCAAGCAAGGGAAATCTAAGACCTTGGATGTTAATTTTTTATGTTTTAAATAAGTGGCTTTAAGACCACAAGCTCTTCATTTAATACTTGCTTTAATGTATTCTCATTGGCTTTAAATCTATGTGCAGGAATAAATTGGCCAAAGCCCAAAGCCACGCTGGACCAGAGTGACCTGGCCTTAGGCGCCGTGACTTCAGCACCAGGTGGCCTAGGCTGACTCATGCTGACCTGGCCAGACACGCCTCAGCCTTAACCAAGCCTTTAAGACCAGCCCAGATTCTCCGCCTCATGCTTGGCTTAGGCGCCACTTCTTCAGCCTTGGTTCTTGCTCCTTGTTGTGTGCCAAATACATTAAAGCCTGGCTGGAATTTGAATTCAAAGTGTATTCAAGACAAGGCCCTTGTTTTCCGCCTAATAGTTAAAAGCAGCCTACAACACGGCCAAGGTGATTAAAATGGGGATTTCAAATTCAAACAAGAGTTAAAGACACTCCTTATTCTCCTCTCGGCTTCAATGCAAGAAAAAAACCACATGTGCTAAACTTAAGGGATTTCAAACCGTGGCTTCAAGGCAAAGGCAAGAAGCATGGAAAGACTTAAAGGAGCTTTTGGAAGAGGATGTCCACATACATTGGCAATTCAGGCTCCAATCCACACGTGGAGACAAGCACCCCTTAGAATTAGCTTTTAATAACTTGTATGCTTTATGGCCGAATTATATCATTGAATTAGGCATTTGAATTTGAAATCAAGTGTAATGAGGCATTAACTTCGGGAAGCCTTAGGAGGCTAGCCATTCCTATATGTATGAATTCAGAATATGAAATGGTTAAGTTGATTTTTATGCAAAACATATTAGTGAGTTTTTCTCCTAAGTTCTTGGTTGAACCAAGTTTATAGTTCTTATCAAACATCCTTGTTTGTGGCGAACCTCTTTAGGCTTATCAAACACTCATGTTTGTGGCGCCTTCATCCTTTCAATCTTCATCATCTTCTTTTATCCTAACCAACAAAACTCCATAGCCAACAAAGTTTAGCCTCGGCCATACACAAGTCCCTACCCAAAACACAAAGCCTCGGCCTAACACAAAGTCTACAACCCCACTCATCCCAAAACACATACTCTCGGCCTACATTCAACCAAACACATCCCAACCGAAGTCCATACACAATCATGGCCTAAAACAACCTATATACAACCCAAATGACCCAAAGCCATCCCAAACACATAAACATCCAAAAACAGCCAACAAAAACATATCATTTCATCCCAAAGGCAAACTTCAAGCAAAACGATCAAAGTGAAATACCAACCCCCACAAGGAGGTTGCTATCATTTGTGGTGTAGACTTGATGATGAGTCATATATTACACACTATTAATAACTTTATTTTACCATTGTTAATGATTATTGGTGTCTAATTGACTTTATTTGGCATTGTTTAGTGTTTTAGGCTTTATTGGAAAATTATTCCTAAAATGAGTTAATTTGGGATTATTTAGCCTAGTTAAATCTAATTCTATTTTCAGGTCATATTTGGCACCAATGACATTTTGGGCATTACAAGTGGAGGATGTGTGCTAAAGTGAAGATTGTAATTTGTAATAACTTTTTAATTCCGTTTTAGGTTTTGGGCCCATTTCGGTTTTACCCTTTAATAAGATTAAGATTTCGTTTTCACTCATAACTTTTACATTACACACTTTACTTTTCAGCTTTAGAGAAAGAAATTCATTTCCCCCCTTTTGGGGTTCTTTTAGGTTTTCGTTTTTCATCTTCTTCCTCCTCCAAATTCGGTTTTGCTTCTTCCTCCATGGAAGGCTAGAGGTTTAGTGCTAATTTCCTTTGGTAATGTATCACAATCTTGAGGTTTAGTGCTTAATGCATTTCAGTTTCTTTTTATTCGTTTAATGCAATTTCGGTTTCTTTATGTTTGAATCTTCTATCCTATTTTAGATTGTGGTTTGCTTAATTCCATGGTTTTGTTGTAGGTTTGTGAACTGATTTTCGCTTAGTTAATTAATTCTCTAGCACATAATCGCTTAGTTTATGTGAATCTTTAAATGCTCTATGTTCATGTTGATTTCGCTTAGTTTGAAGCTTAAACATTAGAGTTATGTACAAATTTGAAATTCAATGTTTAGAATCTGAAATTGATGCTTTGATTCGTGTGACTTTGTTAACTATTTGTTGCTTATGCCAATTTCGCTTAGTTAGAGGTTTAGCAATTTAACTTTGAGTTGAAAATCGCTTAGTTAATCGACTCTCAACAAAGGAAGATTGAGAATCTAATTTTGATATATTGAAACCGATGATTGAGTTGTGAAAAAGGAAACCAAATGGATTTAGCCTATTTACTATTCTGTTTTCTGTTTGTGTTCTGTTTTAGCTTTAGTTGCATACCATAACAACCAGTAAAACCCCATTGTGTATGTACGTGTAAGGTGTTTGAACCAATGTGTGAAAGATAATATTTGGGAAACGACCTAGGAGTTACTACCTAGTACTATACTTAATTGTTTTATTATTTGTATCGGGTACGACCTCGATCAAATTTGGCGCCGTTGTCGGGGATTATCGGTTCATACAAAGGTTCTCTGTAGTTTCATAAAGCTTAGTGTAGTGTAGTTTAGTTAGTCATATCTGTAGTGCATTTTGGGTGAAAATTCTAATATTGGTGCAAAAAGCTGTTACTGTGCACTGTTCACTATTTTGCCATTTTGCATGATTTATGTGATTCTATTTTGCTGGTTTATATAGCCGTGGATGGAATTTTAGCATGATATTTTGTTTCCACACTTCTTTCATCCCACATTGAACACCAGAGAAAGCAGAATCACTTTACGAGCTATAGTTTGTGAGATACAACTTGACGGTGAAAAGTGAATAGTTGAAAATCTATTTTTAGCATAACTTTGTCTCCGTATATCAGAATTGGACGTATGACATATGTATTTGGGGTAGAAAAAGAAGTTATATCCGTTTCCACACACAAAGTCTGTCGGCTTTGAACCAAAAATCTGAAAAACACATTTTTACTATTTGTTTTTAATTTTCTAAGGTTTATAGTGAACTATTTTGCATTTTTACATTAGTTAGGCTTTGAATTTTTCCTTGAAACATTTTTTACTTGTTCTATATGATTTTATGATGTAATTGATGCAAAGACTTGGTTGATTCTACAATTATAAAATGCATCTCCATTACTTTCGTACTTTGTTCCTACTGTTGACTGTAATGCATGACTAGGAGGAATACAGACATTTTGCATTCAATAAATCCCGAAATTGATAAAACGTATCATAGGTTAGTTAGACAAAATAGGACTTTAGATACTAATTTTGTTTCTGTTTCTGAACATCCTGTTGCTGAAAATACTACTTCTAAGCATTCTGTTTCTGTGCATTCTGAATATAGTGATTTTGTGCATTCTGTTCCATTTCCTAATTTTGATCATTCTGTTCATTCTGAAAATATGCCTCAGACACCTACTCTTCCTGGTCCCCGTCAGAGGACGTTAAAGGAGCTGGTTGCCCCTAATTTTACATATGATAGTTCGTGTATCCAATATGAGGATGTACCATATGTGCTTAAAATTGGACTAATCCATTTGTTGCCTAAAATGAATGGACTTTCAGGTCAGGATCCTCATAAACATCTTAAGGAGTTCCACATTGTCTGCTCAACTATGAAACCACATGATGTTATGGAGGATCACATTTGTCTAAAGGCCTTTCCTCATTCACTTGAAGGCCCTGCAAAGGACTGGCTGTACTATTTGGCTCATGGCTCCATCACTAGTTGGGGTGACTTGAAGAGGTCATTCTTGGGTAAATACTTCCTGCATCCAGGACCACTGCAATCAAAAGGGACATCTCTCGAATTAGACAGCAACATGGTAAGAGCTTATATGACTACTGGGAGAGGTTTAAGAGATTGTGTACAAGTTTCCCTCATCATCAGATCTCTGAGCAACTCTTCCTGCAGTATTTTTATGAGGGTCTGAACAATATGGATAGAAGTATCATTGATGCTACTAGTGGTGGTGCACTTGGAGACATGACTCCTTTTGAAGCAAGATGTTTGATTGAGAAGATGGCTTCCAATTATCAACAATTCAATGCAAGGAGTGGTGATGCCATAATTGTAAGAGGAGTCCACAACGTTGCGACAAATGCAGCAAGACAAGACAAGCTTGAGACCAAAATTGATTCCCTCACCACCTTGATCACTCAACTAGCCATTAATCAGCAAAAATCTTCAACGACAAGAGTGTGTGGTATTTGCACCTCAACTGATCATTATACTGATGTGTGCCCTTCTCTGCTTGAGCCAAGAACTAGTGATCATCCTGAGGCTTATGCTGCTAACATCTACAACAACAGACCTCCATATCAGCAGCAACATTATGATCCACCCTCATCAAAGCACATACAATCCTGGTTGGAGAAATCAGGCACCATTTCAGAACAATAATGCTAGGCAGAATAGACCATCATATGTGCCCCCACCAATCCAATAAAAGAGGCATCAAATGATTAACACTCCTGCACCTACTGAACCTTCTTTGGAAGAATTGGTGAGGCAAATGACAATGCAGAACATGCAGTTCCAACAACAAACCCGAGCTTCAATTCATAGACAAGAGTCTTCCATTCAGAATCTAACCACCCAGATGGGGCATATGGCTACTTCACTGAACACATTGCAGTCACATAATTCTGACAAGTTACCTTCTTAGATTGTTCTTAACCCAAGGAATGTGAGTGCCATCACCCTCAGATTAGGCAAGCAGACTGAAGTGCCTACACCTAGAATAGATTTTGTTCTTCAAAAAGAACATGATGTGGATGCAACAAAAATGAATAAATCTGTTTTATAAGAAAATGAGCATAAAACAAGAGAAACTCATGCAAATCAACCTTCCTCAAGTGCTGCACAAAAACCATTTTCCATTCCCCTTCCATTTCCACCAAGAATCAATCCGTGCAAGAAGATGGGGAATATGGAAGAGCTGGACAAGGGCCTCTTGGATACATTCAGAAAGGTTGAGGTGAACATACCTCTCCTTGATGCCATCAAGCAGATTCCAAGATATGCCAAGTTTCTGAAAGATTTGTGCACTCACAAGAGGAAGCTGAAAGGTAATGAAAGAATCAACATGGGAATGAATGTGTCTGCAATGATAGGTATGCTTGTTCGTCACATCCCTGAAAAGTGTAAGGACCCAAGTACATTTACTGTACCTTGCATCATAGGTAATAGAAAATTTGAAAATACCATGCTTGATTTAGGAGCATCCATTAATGTTATGCCTATGAATGTTTTTAAATTCCTTTCACTTGGACCCTTGCAACCTACGGGTGTGGTAATCCAATTAGCAAATAGGAGTACTGCATATCCTATTGGTTTGGTTGAGGATGTCTTGGTTCGGGTTGATCAATTGATTTTCCCTGCTGATTTTTACATTCTTGATATGGAAGACGGATCCCACAGTAACACAATTCCAATTATTTTGGGGAGACCATTCTTGAGAACAGTCCAAACCAAGATTGATGTCCATGCTGGGTCACTTTCTATGGAATTCGATGATAAAGTGGCTCGGTTTAACATTTTTGATGCTTTAAAGCATCCATCTTAGGGCCACTCTGTTTTCCACCTTGATTTGCTCCATGAGTTCAATGATACACACCTTTCAAATTTTCTTCATGATTTTCATGCACCATCATTAACTGATTCATACACATGTCATGCTTGCACTAATTCTGAAACATGTAGTTTTTGCATTGATGAGTTTTTGAACATTGATATTGATGTTCCTTGCACTTCACTATACACTTGTCATGCATGCACTGATCTGAGATGTGTGATTCTTGCATTGATGAGTTTCTGAATACTGTTGCTGATTCTTCAGTTACACATTTACATTGCACTAACACAATTGATGAAGGAATCATACAACAATCTGATTTATGTGTTTAGGTGAAGGCTGCAACAAAGCCTAGCTTTGCTACTATCTTTCCATCTGTTTTGCAGGCACCTAATTGGACACCCCCATTTGACCTTGAGTGCAACATTGTTGTTTATGCTTTGGGGATTGTCCTTGCTAGTTATGAGTTTGATTTCCTCCCTACATGATTGAGGGAGTCTTTCTTTCTTTCTCTCCTTCTTTACTTTTATTGCACTTGTCAATTACAAATGTTGATATAACTGCGTGGATATTCTGTCTGTGCTACATTGGAACAATGTGTAGTTTAAGTGTGGGGGAGATTAATGTAGGTTTTGTTGATGCATGCTTTTCTTTTATTCTTAGATTTTGCTTAGACTTTTGGCATTTTCTCACATGCTTTATTTTAGTTGAGTCTTGGTATCTAGTCTTGTGAATCCATGCATTTTCTGTTTGCTAAGTTACTTTTGAGAATTGAGAGGTTGAGATAATTGTGATAGTCTTGTCCCTTGTGAGATTTTGAGCCTTAATTGAGGATGGATTGATGTATGCCATCTAGTATTCTTTCATGTGTGATTGTTGCACTCTAGAACTTGACATGTTTCTTGTCGATACTTGATTTTCATATTGCACATTTTAAAGTGATTTAGGCATTGCTTTTGAATAAGCCACATGCCATATAGCCTACCTTGAATGAAATTATACTTTGCTAGTCCCTTTGAGCCTTTTTACCCCTTTCTTTGTTGTATAATTCATTACAAGTCTATAAGTGAAAAACCATGATTATCCTAACCATAGGGAATTTTGGAGCTTTAGAATTGTTTTGGAAATGGGTATTCAAGTGAGGGTGCATTGTTCTTCATTTCCTATAACTTTTGGGTATGACTCATGGGTTGGTTGATACATTTGTCCACATAAGTGTGGTGTGGTGTCATTGAAAAAAAACAAAAAAAAAACCGCAAAAAGAAAAGAAAAGCAACACAAAAAGAAAAAAAAACAAGAAATAAAAGTTGAGTGGTAAGGAGGATTGAGAGGATTGGAATTAGAGGGTAATTTGCTAATTTTGGGGTTGATTTTGTCTTACTTTTTACTTATTCCCCTTTGCTCTTCTATTCCCTTGGTTTAAGCTACATATCCCATATTTTATCCTACCTTGTCCTTGGCCCCATTATAACCTGGAAAAGTCCTTTTGATCAATATGTGCATGTGTTGGTCATGTTGATGTTAGAAACTTATCAAGCTTATGGTTGTGTTTGTTTTCATGAAGTGCCTTGAGTGTAAATATTTACAACTTAAGACACATAGTGTAAACACTTAGGAGAGCATATCTTGTGAGGATCTATCATTATTGTGACTCACCTGTTGATTTGATTGGTTTCTTTGCATGCTTGAATTGATTGGATGAACTTCATGGATATCTTGATTCTTGATCTTTTTACTCTTGTGTGTTTGATTTTTCCCATTTCTTTGCATTTCTTAGAATTCATTGTGAAGTATGTCATCTTTAGGATTTTTCGTTCCCTAGTTTTTTGTAATCTTCTTACAAGACTCACTTTGGTGCACTGGTTAGCATAGCATTATTTCTTGATTTTGCCTAGGAGTGCAAAAGGTTAAGTGTGGGGGTATTTGATGAGTCATATATTACACACTATTAATAACCTTATTTTACCATCGCTAATGATTCTTGGTTTCTAATTGACTTTATTTGGCATTGTTTAGTGTTTTAGGCTTTATTAGACTATTATTCCTAAAATGAGTTAATTTGGAATTATTTAGCCTAATTAAATCTAATTCTATTTTCATATCATGTTTGGCACCAAGGACATTTTTGGCATTAAAAGTGGAGGATGTGTGCTAAAGTGAAGATTGTAATTTGTCATAGCTTTTTAATTCCGTTTTAGATTTTGGACCCATTATTAGGGCCCATTTCGGTTTTACCCTTTAATTAGCTTAGGATTTCGTTTTCACTCATAAATTTTACATTACACACTTTACTTTTCAGCTTTAGAGAAAGAAATTCGTTTTCCCCCTTTTGGGGTTCTTTTAGGTTTTCGTTTTTCATCTTCTTCCTCCTCCAAAATTGGTTTTGCTTCTTCCTCCATGGAAGGCTAGAGGTTTAGTGCTAAATTCCCTTGGTAATGTATCACAATATTGAGGTTTAGTGATTAATGCATTTCGGTTTCTCTTTATTCGTTTAATGCAATTTCGGTTTCTTTATGTTTGAATCTTCTATCCAATTTCAGATTGTGGTTTGCTTAATTCCATGGTTTTGATGTAGGTTTGTGAACTTATTTTCGCTTAGTTAATTAGTTCTCTAGCACATAATCGCTTAGTTTATGTGAATTTGTAAATGCTCTATGTTCATGTTGATTTCGCTTAGTTTGAAGCTTAAACATTAGAGTTTTGAACAGATTAGGAATTCAATGTTTAGAATTTGAAGTTGATGCTTTGATTCGTGTGACTTTGCCAATTTCTCTTAGTTAGAGGTTGCTTATGCCAATTTATCTTAGTTAGAGGTTTAGCAATTTAACTGTAAGTTGATCATCGCTTAGTTAATCGACTCTCAACAAAGGAACATTGAGAATCTAATTTTGATATATTGAAACCGAGGATTGAGTTGTGAACAAGGAAACCAAAGGAATTTAGCATCTTTACTATTTTGTTTTCTGTTTGTGTTCTGTTTTAGCTTTTGTTTCATACCATAACAACCACTAAAACCCCCATTGTGTGTGTGCGTGTAAGGTGTTTGAACTAATGTGTGAAAGATAATCTTTGGGAAACGACCTAGGAGTCACTTCCTAGTACTTACTATACTTAATTATTTAATTATTTGCATCGGAAACGACCTCGATCACTTGCCCTCTGGGTATTGAATCATCTTAGTGATGTAGAATTGCCCTATGTGGTAATGAGTAAATGGATGTCAATTGTAATTGATGAAGTTAAATGGGATGTATGAAATGAAATGACGTGAAATGATAAAGAGAATGATATGAATATGTATACTTATGGTACTTA